ATACCTCAACAATTGGATTATATGTTTCAGGAAGTGCTGGCACATCAATAAGAGGCTATATCACCACTTTAAAAGAAGGCTATTACGACTGTCAACGAAAGGATGGTGGATGACAACCAATCAGAAGATCACAACGAAATACCAAATAAAATAAAACTGTTGAATTTGGTGATGGAGAGGACTTTGAAAAAAGTTTGCCAAATACCTCAACTCAATTCTGAAGTCTTATTTCCAAACAACTACTCCGGATGTGTGCACGCAGGCTTTTAGGCAAGTTGGTATTGATTTCAGAATTGTTGATGGTGGTATGAGGGTTGCGTATGTGGATATTGGAGTGTCACGCAGAGTCACAGCAGAAATACTGAGAATGTTAAGTATACCACAGTTATACTCGATTGAATGCGTCAAAACCAAAAGCTTGAAAATATCTGCAGTTCGGAAGCTTTCAAGGTGTTTTGAGGGTTATTTTTGTCAGTCTGTTTGCAAGCCGATCAAAAGAAAAGAACGGGATGTTGTATGTAAATTTGTGAAGAAAAAGACGACCAAAAAAATCTCAAAAAGAACTAAAAATGGGGTTGAGAATTTAATCGATTGATTTTTATCTTTTTAATCAGTTGTATCGCCCAGTTCACATTACTGTTTCCTATCACAGGTCAGAATGGTCACTGTTTGAATCAACATATGTCTGAACTATCATAAGTCCTTCCAATAGAAAATATTCGTTTGTTAAACTTTCTTTCGTATTGAGATATTAACTTGTAGAACTTGCTCGTAAAGAATCTTGAATTCAACGTTGCCTGCTTTGAATTGTCTAGTTGCTATGGCTGATATGTCCAGTATTCCGAGGATTCTTTGGCGTGAGGTCTGAGTCAGTTAGTTGGTAAGTGCTGGCTGGCTGTTCACACTCTGAAAGCTGCTTTGTAGGTTTCCAAACAAATTGAAAGAGAAAACGAACTGTAAATAAATGATTTTTTTATTTGATCTTTTTATATTTTTTGAAATAAAAAAATAATAATTTTATTGCATAAAAGTTACACAATTGTAACTTTTGTTGAATCCACATTTTTTTGGTAGTATTCTCACATAATGTAATATTTTTCATCACGTTTCCATTTATAATACAGTCAAAGGCTCTAATTTGTCGGTTTCTCTATTTGTAGGTTAATTGACCAATTAAAATGCAAAACCGACAAAAAGGTTTTTTATTCTGGAAACTCGAACTTTAACTGAATATTAAATTTAAATGGCTTCTACCCATTCTTAGAAGATTTAGTAAATGATTGTAAAAATTATCTAAAGTCTATCTAAAAACGTTGTCCGCTTGACAAAATTGTACACAAAATATGTTGAAAAATTTGAAATTAAAAAAACGATCAAATCCGGTAAAAATTATGAAACAATGTTTTGGGAGTGTTTCGAATTGTTTCCCGAAATATTCCAGTTATGATGGTCCAAAAATGCCTGGACAAAGTTGGAGAGCGGACAACGTTCTCAAACTGACTATAATACGTTTTAGTCAACAAAGCAAGATTTTTAAAACATTTTTCCTAATTGTATTTTAAAAACCGTTATTTATTTATAATATTTTTTGTTTTTTTTTGTTTCTTCATATAGGAAAATAAATCGACATTTTCATACGAAGTTGAAGCAAACACTTTAATTGTTTGGACTTAATCTTCTGCTTTCGTTGATAATCTGCAATACAAACCAAGTATGTAGATTTTCAATTCAAATTGTTGTATAGCAGCAATGTACCATTTGAAAAAAAACTGTGAGTTTGAAACAATTATTAACTGTTTTTGTTATTTCATTCCAATATTTTGAAATAATCACAATGTCTTCAACTACATCAGTTGTTCTTATAAACAGACCATTTTTTGTAAAGTGTTTGTTTTCTGGTAATTTATATAAATTGTTGTTTTATGTTTGGTAATAATATGACATTTATCCTTTTTATTTTAAATTAAAAGATATTAGGAATCTAAAATAAAAAACATATTTTTAAAACAACAAAAATGTTTATGTGGAAAGTTCCACAAAATTCTTTAAAAACCGACAAATAAGTTTGTTTTTGTGTAGTAAAACCGACAAGTAGGCGACTTTGACTGTAACATTTTAAAACGATTAATTTTTTCTTGTTAACCAATTTTATTATTTTGCCTTTTTGATTCGTAACACTAAACACTTTTTAATGTGATACTCATCTTAAAAATATTAATTAAAGCAAAAGCACAAAAAATAAAAACAATCAAAATGAGTTTGTCGATTGTAACACTGTTGTGTTCAAATCAAATCTATAAACGACCTTCTATTTTTGACATGTGGTTCTCTGTAAATTACACACACGTTTCCGCGGCTGAGTTTAACTAAGAATAAAAATAAAATAATATGTATCATCCAAAAGGAATAAGTTGAGGTGTTATGCCTTCAAAAGGCGTTGTTGTCAAAAACATTTATTCTCCGTGTCGAGTGTAGAAGAAACGTGTGCGTAAACAACACAAAACGACTAATCGTAAGTTATGTGTTAATTCACCAAGTATTCTCAAATTTCAAAAGGTGAAGAAATGAATTAATTCATAAATATTAAATGTTTTTGTTATAATGTCTTATTATTATATTACTAAGATCGTTTCAAAAAATGTTTTTGGAAATGCGAACTGTTATTTCAGCTATTATTTTAAAAATATAAAATGCAAAACTTAAAGTTTTCAACAATAAAATATTGTTTATAAAACAAAAAATAAATGGAACTTGAACGTGTATTAACACTGCTTGTCAATCCTCTGACCCAAAACGATGTTCATGTTGTAATGTCTTCAAAGCTCGCTGACATTTTTTTTGTTAAATTTAAGAACATATCACAGAATATTTATGCTTTGGTAAAAGCGAAAATTGATATATAAATTAAAACCAATAACCTTATTATGTATTTTTTATTTTTTTAGTCTTTTTTTCCTTTTAATTTTTAAGAAAACAACGAAAAATAAGAAGGATGTGTTGTCACCAATTTATCTTTACCATCCATTTATTGGGATTAATAACCCGGATTAATAGAGAAATACAACTATTGAACTATAAACATCCTCAGAAAAACGGGTTATTTATACCTTGTCACCGACTTTATCCTCCATCTATAATAGTTTTGAACTTTGGCGCCACGTATTTCCCTTCCTTGAATTTTTTCCAAAAAATAAAAAATGTCTAACTCTGCCAACAGCCACAAAATTTACTTTATAAATGCCCAACTTTATGGTGAGTTAAAAACCATTAATTATTAATAAAATTTTCAAAAATCAAAAATAATGATAAACAAATTTTGAGCATTGACTTTTTTTATGTCACTTGTTGTTGTCTTCAATTTGACACAAATGATAATTTGGCATGTCTGTTCTATCAAAAATGACATTTTAAATATTGATAATAACCTAATTGAATCGTTTAATAAACCATTTTATTTTTTGATTATTAGTTAACTGTTATAGTTAGTTTCAAAACAATTATAAAATTTTTAACAACAAAACGATTTATGTTTTTACAACAATTATTTTTGTACCTTTAATCAATTTTTTTATAAGGAATAATTTTGTATCATTTATAATAAATTTGTTGCAATATAAAATGAGTTTGTCTCAAATAAAACATTTGTGCAATAATTATTAAATATTGTTTCAAAAAACAAAGAATGTTTGCACAAATGGTTTTTATTGTTTTTAAACAAATAATCACAAATCAAAATAAATGTGGGTAAATCAAAACCTAAAAATGATTATACTGTATTACGGCATGGCGGTAGACTCTTTTAAATTTATACATAGAAATAACATTGACCATTTTTGAGCGTAGGCTCAACTGTCCAACTGGATTCAAATGCCCCAACCCAAACAATTCAAACCGCAGAGAGAAGAAGCGCTGCAGATTTTTTATCACTTATACCACCACCAACACCTCTTGAAATAAAATTAACTTTTAATTCTACAGACACGATATCCAAAAATAAAAGTCATAAAATCGCAAAGAAAAAAAAATCGACCAAAGAATATGCCGAATATCAAAAGACACGAGATTGGAAATAATACATGCCAGAAACAAGAATTGGAGAAGCGTCTGTTAAACGTCAATTGTGAGAGCTTGAAAGGGGCTATAACATATCAAAACCTTTGAAAAATGGTTAATGTAACGATATTATATATAGTGCAAAACATTTCTGGTTTTTTTGAAAATATTATGTTAACAGAAATAGGAAGAGTTATAACACACTTTATTTCGGTGGTAACAAGAAAAGTGTTTGCAATAAAAGATTTAGAATTGTATTTTTGTTTAATATGTTTATTCTTTATTATTTAGGCTTCGCACCCAAGAATTTTATTATTAAAATAATATAATAATATATTATTAGATATATATTAAAACTTCATTTAACTTTTGATTTGTGATTATTTGTTTAAAAACAATAAAAACCATTTATGCAAACATTCTATGTTTTTTGAAACAATATTTAATAATTATTGCACAAATGTTTTATTTGAGACAAACTCATTTTATATTGCAACAAATTTATTATAAATGATACAAAATTATTCCTTATAAAAAAATTGATTAAAGGTACAAAAATAATTGTTGTAAAAACATAAATCGATTTGTTGTGAAATTTTGATAATTGTTTTGAAACTAACTGTATAAAAAACAAAAAAAAACTGTTTTTTTAGAAAACTTACTTTATTTTTATTATAAATTATAATAATATTATTATAATTATTATAATTAATAATAAAAATCAATATTGTTAAATAGAAAACAGACTTTATTATAATTAAATAATCAGATTATAACTCTATTTCATGTTATTATGAGGTTATTACTATGAAATATATTATAAACAAATAACTATTATCCATTTTTTTATTGATAGTCAACATATATTTATAATCAAAAATTATTATAAACAAATTAAAAATATTCTATAATATATAAATTAAGAATGTGATCTTTAAAAACACCAAATGATGAAAGTTAAATTAGATGCTTTTCATTTTCAAATCGTAATGAAATATTTCTTGTATGAACAAAATTTTATCAACTCAATGTTAACGTGTAAAAAATTTGAAATGGTACTTGACCGATTTCGATACAACCCAATTCCCGTAAAATCCACTAAACTGTTTCCATATATGGAGACTCAACACTTATACACAAAATTTGATGATATTTTCGCAGGAATATCCCGACTTGTCGTCTTGTACAAAGTGACTTACTCTGAAACAAAAACTTTATTTCCAGACTTTGATGTAGAATTTAAAAATGTGACTATATCTTCATATGATATCAAAAAACAAAATATCACAACATTTGACCAAATACCCAAAACCATAAAAATATATGAATATAAATTTTTAAACACTTTTAATTTTAAAGAGTTTAGTGTCCCAACACATATAACTGAATTGTACCATTCTTGCTTTTACAATAATACCACACTTACTTCAGTGACACTGTGTGACGGGTTAAAAATCATACCGTCGTCTTGTTTTGATTCTTGCAAGAATTTGGTTTCTGTAAATGTTCCAACCACAATTATATCAATTGAAAGTTCTGCTTTTGAAGAGTGTGGTATAATCAAATTATCAATTCCTGATACCGTCGTTTCGCTCGATTTAAATCTGTTTAAGTCATGCGCTAATTTAGAGGAACTTGTTATATCAAAGAACGTTACTGTTTTGCCATATTACATGTGCGAAAAATGCACCAAATTAACACGCGTTGTACTCCCAGACAATTTAATTTCAATTAAAGCACAAGCTTTTTGTGATTGCAGTCAACTTGTTGATATTACCATCCCAAACACTTTACTTCGAGTTGAGTTTGGCACTTTTTCAAACTGTGAAAAACTCAAGGAACTTGTATTTAATGAAGCATGTGAAATAGAAGAAGGGGTGTTTAGTGGTTGCACTAGTTTAACACGTTTGGTTGTTCCAAAAATCAATGGAATTATTAAAAACACAATTTCTCCAAATGAAGTTGATGTGTTTGAACGGTTGAATGAAACATTTGAGTGTCCTTTGGATGACGATTTTGGCTCAGAAGGAGAGTTAAAAAGTGACCGAAAATATACAACACTCGATATGTCATACGACTGCAATTTTGAATGTACAGACTCAGTGTTTTTTATACCTGAAAATTTCACAAAAATAGAAAATATGCCATTTAATGAAAATCACGATATCCACGTGATATATATGTCTCAGAGCGTTTTCGATATCAAACGTGTTTTACTTAACAAATTTGATAATTTGGAAGAAATTTATATGTCTTCTCACATCAAAAAATTTAATAAGTCAATATTTTGAAAATTGTGTCAATTTAAAACATATATTTAACATGCAAAACGTGACTAAAATACGCCAATTTTGCTTCAAAAATTGTTCATCTTTAAAAAGTCTTCACATCAACAAACGTGCAAAAATTTCGTTCGGCTGGTTTTGAAGGATGTGTTGGACTAACTTCTCTTGAAATACCAACAACAACAAAAAAGCACATTTTCAGTAACAATGAAGACGAAAAGTCTTAACACATTTGGGTATACTTTTGGGGATCATGTCTGCTATTTCAATTCAAAGACACATTTTTA